CTCTTAGCTGCATCACGGATTTAGTTTCTTTTTAAGAGCTTTTTTAGAGTGTGAGCTGCCTAGCTATCTAGCTGTGGCCTAGCTGGCTGTCTATTTTTACTTCAAAACCTGAGACTTATAAAATCAGTATGGATACCCCTCACTCTTTTTTATAACCACTCACCACAGTCTATTGTATCAGGCCTCATATTGATTAGAATTGATGTTTTAATTTTTAAAGACATTCTCAGCTTTAGACTTTAGTCTTTGTATCCTCGACCCCACGTTCAATAAATGTCTCTTCATTTTCTGTGGCCCTTCAAAAGGTGGTGCACAGGTGCTCCTGAAAACACTCAATTACTATCTATGTGTCTGATAAATTGTGACTGGCCCTCATTCAACATTATCAAGTAATTATGTGTCAGGTACTAAGCAAAGTGCTTAGTGTAAGAGGGGCTTCATGGGTTGTCTTGGTTCTAAGTAATGGATGAGTATTATAATTCTCACCAAAACTAAAGGGGAAGCCAGGCAAACTAAAAGGTACTTCCTGATAGACTACCAAGTTGCTACCCATTATACAGTTCCTATATTTGAAACAGTGGTAACTCTAGAAAGACCAAATACCTAATTTCTTTATGAGAGCAAGAATGGCCCCATAGTAAACAATGAGCTGACTGTAAGATATGCGAAGACTAGAATGAAATTTTTTTTAATTTTTATTTATTTATGATAGTCACAGAGAGAGAGAGAGAGAGAGAGAGAGAGAGAGAGAGGCAGAGACACAGGCAGAGGGAGAAGCAGGCTCCATGCACCGGGAGCCCGACGTGGGATTCGATCCCAGGTCTCCAGGATCACACCCTGGGCCAAAGGCAGGCGCTAAACCGCTGCGCCACCCAGGGATCCCCTAGAATGAAATTTTATGTATGACTAAAACCCCCCAACATCTACTACAGCGCTGTACATAGAGGGCACTCTTTCAGTTATTATCCTGGAGAATATATCACCCCAAACTTAGTGGCATAAAAATATAACTACTCATTTATGCTCACAGGTTCTGTGGGTACTGCAGGGACAGCTTGTGTCTGCCCTATGATCCCTGAGGCCTCAGCCTAGAGGAATGGAGGATGTGTGGTGTGACTCAGTGGAGGGGGTTGGCAATGTCTGAACACTTGGTCACTTGGACATGTAGAGGTCAACGCCAGCTGTCAGCTAGGAACCTACACATGGCTCTCCGTGGAGATGCTTGGGCTTCCCTTCATCATGGTTGTTGGATTTTTAAGAGTAATTGTCCTAAAGAAAATCAGGTGGAAGTCCTTAATGATCCAGCTTCAGAAGTCACACAGGGTTACTTCTACAGTAGTCACAAACCTGCCCCGTTTCAAGGAAAAAGGGCACAGACCTCCATCTCTTGATGTCAGAGGGGAGGGGGCCGGGATGTATCAAAATCACATTATAAGAGCAGCATGTTGGATGGGAGATAATATTGCAACTGTCTTTGGAAAGGAAAATCTACCACAAGTATGGAATTATCAATGAATGACTAAATTGTATCACCAATGAGCACCAGCGCTTCTCTCAAATATTGGAGCTCTTCTTTGAGAACACAATGTGCTTGCACTTGACGTCAAACAAGCCCCTATGATTTGTTTTGGCCAAGGAAATATGGATAGAAGCGACCGGCGTAACTTACTGCAGGCAGCATTGGCAGTTGATCCTCATCATTCACAGATTCCGTATTTGCCAGTTCACTGACTTGTTGGTAGGTGTTTCGAACTTCAAAAGCAATACTCAGAGCACCGTCTCGGTCACTAGTGGACATCTACGTGTAGAGCAGCGAGGAGTTCTGGCCACCGGTTGCACACGTTCCCAGCTGAGGTCAAATAAGGTGGGGCTCTGCCCTCTAGTTTCAGCTCTCATACAGTGAACGAGTGTCCTTTTTGCAGTCTGTTTAGTTCCATGTTTTTTGCATGTTCGTGCTTCTTGTTGATTTTGTTGCTTAAAATGGCCTTCAATCATAACACTGAAGTGCTACCTCCTATGCCTAAGTGCAGGAAGGCTGGGATGTACCTTTTGGAGTAGATAATATGTGTCATATAAGCTTCATTAAAGTATGAGTTGGTTATGAGTTCAATGTCAATGAATCAAAATAATCAACAGCATCTCTTAAATAAGGTATCTTTATACAATAACTCATATAAAACAAGGTTATGGAGTGATTGGCAAAAAATGTGGCCAGAGGCTCACAGGAACCTAACTCTGTATTTCCTCCAGAAGCAATAGTTCAGTACTCATTAATTCAACGTGCATGGTGACTTTACAGAATAAAGCTTCTGCAAATAATGAGAATCTGCTGGGGTTCCTGCTGCAGGGCTCTGCAGGGCTCTCTTCCCCTGGCTGGGGTGAAGTGGAGACACCTGTTGTTAGAACCGAGCCACACTGCACCACCAAATGTGCTGTAAAGCTTAGACTACCTTCTTCATAATGTCATACATTCATTAAGTGTGAGTTAATAGAACAATTTTACCATAATTAATCAACAAGAAAACTAGCTAGATTATTTTGACATATGGATATAAAACTTGAGCCTTCTGAATTTCATTAAATTTATTCTAACTGAAATCCCATTATTTTGAAACAAATCATTTTTCCCCTCCTTCTGTTCTTTTACATGACTAATTATCACCTTATAAATATAGATAACTCAGCTGAGTCACCTGCTGTTATCTTTGTTAATTGTACATTCCACACCCTATTAAATGAATGTCTCCAAATTTAGCCTCAGTTCTTCTACAAAGAAAATGCTCCTCCACCCCAAAAGGCATCAATCACTGTAAAAGGTACTCTGCAGATGGAAAAAACAACAGAAATCTTAAAGAACAATGTAAATTATTTCCTTTTCTCTTAAAGCTTTTCACAACATAAAATTACATTCCCAACTTTGTAAAGTCACCTAAGCAGTGGATCACATGTTATAGAAGTTAAAAGAGTCAGGCTGTTTTTAAAATTTCAGTCAAAATTCATTATTCAGTCTTCACTAAATAATTCAAACATAACTCAGCATAATAATAGATTTGATACAAACACTGGCAAGTGTTCATGTGTCCATAGGCCACCATACTCATTAGGGCAAGGACGGGCAAAGGAAAAAGAGAACCTCAGTTGCTTTAAAGCAGCAGGACTACACAATGGGATATTCTTCAGCAATAAAAAAGAATGAAACACTGATACAAGGTACAACATGGATGACTCTCGAAAACATTACACTACGAGGAAGATGTCGGTCACAAAAGAACACGTTATATTCCACTTATGTGAAGTGTCCAGAATAGACAGATCCACAGGAATAGCAAGTAAACTAGTGATTGCCAGGGGCTGAGAGGTGTTGGGGATTGGGAGTGACTGCTAAATTGTGAGGGGTTTCTTTTTGGATTGATGGAATGTTCTGGAATTAGTGATAGTGTTTGTACGACATACTGACCATACTAAAACCCACTGAATCGCACGCTTTCAAATGGTGAATTTTATGCTATGTGAATTGTATCTCAAAAAAAATTTAAAAAAAAACTTTTTTTTACACCAGGCACACACAATAGGATGACTATAATCAAAAAGCCAGATGTCAACAAGCGTTGGCGAGGATATGGAGAAACACAATGTTCACACGCCGCTGATGTAAATGTAACAGTGCACCACCCACTTTAAAAGACAGTCTGCTGTTCCTCAAAAAGTTAAATATAGTGTTACCATTTGACCAGCAATCCCACTCCTAGGAAATCACTCAGGAGAAATGAGAATTTTCTACACAGAAACCTGTATACAAATATTTATGGCAGCATGATTCATAATAGCCAAAAGGTTGAACGAATCCAATGTCCATCAACTGATGAAAAATATTTATCCAGTGGAATGTTTTCAGCTACAAAAAGGAATGAAGTACTGACACATGCTACACAACACGGATGAAACTTGAAATATTTTGCTCAGTAAAAGAAGCCAGCAATAGAGGACCACAGGCTGTATGCTATATGGTCTGTATGCTCGCATCCCCCCAAAACTCGTATTTTGAGAAACAAATGCTCAAGGCGATGGCATTAGGAGATGGGGCCTTTGGGAGGTGATTAGGTCAGGAGGACAGACTCCCTCATAAATGGGATTCGTGCCCCTATAAAAGAGGCCAGAGAAAGCTGCCTTTCCTCTTCGACCTTGTAAGGACACCACCCGCAGTGTGTCACCAGGAGAAGGGCCTGCACCTAACTTGTGAGTGTCCTGATCTTGGACTTCTAGCCTCCAGAACCTTGAGAAATAAGCTTCTGTTGTTTATAAGCCACCAGTCTGTGATATTTTGTTACAGCAGCCTCACAGGTTAAGACACTGTATTAGCTCATTTATATGAAATGTCAGAATAAGCAAACCTGTAGAGAAAGAGGGCAGATTAGAAGCTGCCTAGGACTTGGGGATGTGGAATTGAGGAATGACGGCTAAAGGGGGGGGGGGGCAATGTTCTAAAATTGATGGTAGTGATGGTTGCACAAGTGTAAATATACCAACAACCACTGAATGGTACCCATGCAATGGGTGAATTTTATGGTACATCAATTATATTTCAATAAATCTCTTAGGAAAAATAAAGAATAAATCTAGCCAAAAAAGTTTTAAAGGCACCAGAGTCCTGTCGCTGGACTCCCCCCGTTTCTCTGCCCCCCTTTTAACCTTCCTCCCCGCCGCCTGATAGTTCCAGTGGGACCAGCTTAGAGGTTCTGGGGTCATGTCAGGGAAAGGTCAATCCAGCGGGACCGCGGAGAGCCTCTCCAGGCAGGACTGTCGCCCCATCTGCCTCCTCCCGCGCTCGGCCACCTCCGCAGCCCCGGCCGGTCCCGGGTCCCGGGTCCCGAGCCAGCCGGCGCCGGAGCTCCGGGCGGCGGGCGGCCCTAAGGCGGAGCCCGGGGCGGGCGCGCAGGCTCCCTCCCGCCTCCGCCGAGGGCACCCGGGGCGCCGGCCCGCGCTCACGCCGCTGCCGGGACAAGCCGGCTCTGCAGAAGCGGCTCCCCGCGCGGGTGGAGCCGCCGAGAGGTTCCCAAACCGGTTCCACCAGGACCCCGGCAGCCGCGCTCATCCTTCACCCACGCCCCGGGCTCCCGGCGTGGACACCTCTGCGCGCCTCTTAATCTAAAAACTAGGCGGAGGGCGCGCAGGGACCCCCAAAGGGCGCGGGGCCCAAGCGGACCCTGCCGCCCGGTCGGCGGCCCTCGCGGTCGCAGCGCCCCCGCCCGGCCCCGGAGGGCTCCCGCGGCCTCGGCTCCCCGGAGCGGGGGAGGGCGGCGCGGCGGCGGGTGACCGGGGCGCGGGGCGCGGGGCGCGGGGCCGGCACTCCGGGAGCGGGGCGCGCGCCGCGGGCGGCCCTTGGCGGCTCGGCTCGCCTCGCCAGCCTCCCCCGAGCGTCGGCGCCGCCCATGGCCGAGCGGCCGGAGCCCGAGCCCGCGGCGGCCGAGCGCGCGGACGCCCGAGCCGTGGAGACGCCGGGCTGGACGGCGCCGGAGGACGCGGGCCCCCAGGTAGGCGCCCCCGCGGGCGAGGGCGAGGGCGAGGGCGAGGGCGGGGCGGGCCGGCGACTTGCAGTGGGGCCGGCGGGTCCCGCAGATGGAAGCAAAAAGGACAATTTTGAAAGTTGCTTGGGCCCCCAGCTCCGTTCCGGCCCCGATGGGTCGCTTGGCCGGAGCCCTACGTGACGGCTACATCTCAGTTCCCACTGGCCACAGCGCAGTTTCTTTTGAGGTTAAAAAAGAGAAAAGGAAGTGATCAGTGATCGGGTCCAGGGCCCGCGGTGGGAGCCTCCGGCCCCGAGGACGTCACAGGTGCCGGGTCCTCACGCGAACAGAGCCCGGCGACCCCGGCGCCTCCAGGTCTCTAATCCAAGGACCCGAGCCTGGGGGAGGGGCGCCCGGGGCTGCGGGCCGCAGTCAGGGGCCTGTCCAGGTGGACCCGACCTCGGGCCCCTGCGCCGTCGCCTTTCTCGTCCTGCCCTTTCAGAATGACTCCCTCGGGCTTCTCTGTTGCGTTTTAGCCGGGAAGTTACGAGATCCGGCGCTATGGACCCGCCAAGTGGGTGAGCACGTCCGTGGAGTCCCTGGACTGGGATGCGGCCATCCAGACGGGTTACGCAAAGCTGAACAGCTACATGAAAGGCAAAAATGAGAAAGGTGAAGACAGTAAGACAGTGTACCTCGTAATTATGTGTACGGTGTGGTCGAGTCCCCGGGCTTATTCTTGCGTTTTAGCTTATTAAAGAGATATATATATATATATATATATATTTAAGAGATGATTAAAGAAAAATCATGAGATCGTCGAAGACTTCATGTTTGAGGACAGGGCCTCGCCTCAGGACGCTTAGAGCCCAGAGGAGGGCAGGTGCTTTTCAGCCTCTGTTCCGTGTTTCCGCTGGACGAGCCAGGGGCCTCCGTGCAACCAGCCTTAGGGCATTTTCCTGGCTAATGCTTTGAGGTAATTTGGTGACTGGTAAGTTAAGAGTCATCAGGAGGCAGGAAGGTAGGAAGAGCACAAGATCAGGTCTCAAGACATCTGGTTCTGGCTCTGACTCTGTTTATGTTTTAGCAGGTCATTTAACCTGTGGGATCTCAGGTTCTGAACTGTAAAAAAAAAAAATAAAGGACAGACTGGTCTATACAATCTTGAATTTTCCCTCCCATCCCTAAAGCTAGAATTTATTATTAACCAAAAGTATCAATAGTACAGAAAGTGTTTAATGTGGCCAGTGGATAACTGAATCATTTTGCTCTTATTTTTTCATGATGAAAATGATCTCAAAGGTAAATTTTATGTCAGTGGCATAAAGTCAGTCAGGAAACCTGGATCAAAAAATGATAGGTTAAGTTTTTAGAAGTCATCGTAAATATACTAAATCTGCTTTCACGCTCTTTTCCTGGTCTTTTATGGTCCAGAGATGAAGATAAAGATGACAGCTCCAGTGACAAGCCTCGTGGAGCCCGGTTCAGGTCCTTTTAGTGAGTCTATCATTACCATTTCCCTGTACATCCCCTCTGAGCAGCAACCCGATCCGCCACGGCCTTCAGAGTCAGGTGTCTTCATTGAAGACAGAGCTGAGATGACTGTGTTTGTACGGTAAGTGGTAGATAATTTATAGCCCTGCGGACTGCGAGCTGGCCTTGCCTGCACTCAGTTTCGCTCCTATGCAGTTTCCGCAGGCTTTCACCCTTCCATAAAGAAAGAGGTCTAGGGCATTCTCCAGTGGTTTCCTGCTGGCTTAGTTTTATATGTTTCTGAGGGTCTGCTGCCAGATATAATCAACTCATTTAATAAAGAGTTTGTTGATTACCTTCCACACAAATAAGACACAATGCACATTATTCTCAAAAAAAAAAAAAGTAAAAAAAAAAAAAGAGGGGGCAAGGCTGCCCTTATCTGCCATGGAGGTAAACCTGAGCAAAAACCCTGCCACACAGTGTGCAGTACCCCCCCTCCCAGCTTTTAGGCTCTGTTAGCCCCAACCTCCCCCTCCCCCGCCCCGTGGTCCCCAGCTCCCAGCTCCTCATCGCCCCTGTTCATTGGCTGGTTCCTTTGTACCCTTTCAGACTTCCCTACCTGTTTGTCTCATTCCCTAAATTCTCTCTGTTGAAATTTAAACCACGCACAGAACATGATGACAGTCTCATACTGAAGTCGCTTTATTCCCTTCTCCCCCTCTTGGCACCACCAGCCTGCTAAAGGTCTCTGTCTCCCCCGTGCTCCTCACACCGCCACTCCTCAGTCTGGGAGAACCCAGGCCACCTCCTCGGAACCGTTGTCCTCATCACCCTCAGCAGTGCCCCTGCCTGTGCCGCATCACGGCACCCCTTGCCCGTGTGACCCCCGCAGCCTACATGTGCTGACCAATCTGTTCTCCTGATACTCATTCCTCCCCTGAAGTCTCAGAATGTCCCCCCTCCTCCCATTCCTCTCTCTGTTGAGAGAAGTGCTGTCGACCCACCACACTGACCGTCCCGTCATAGCAGCCTTGCTCTGGGTGATCTGTTTATAAAGCTTTCACTACATGTGTCCAGTGACTCTCAAATTTAGTGTTTCCAGCCCAGATTGCCCGACTTGCCAGACATTTCCACATGAGGTAAGTGGGGATTAAACTCAACAGCTCTACAAATGAGCGACGCCCCGATTCCCAATTTGTGTGGGCAGTGATCTTATAGTGCCTTCCCAGCAAGGACCTCCCAGGTCACCATCAACGCACTCTTTCCTGACAACTGGTCTCCTGGGAAGTGATCCATGAATCTACTTTTCTGCCCTTCCCTGTGACTTCCTCCGAACCTCATCTCCTAGGAACCACACCTCAGTCATCTTTGTATATCCCACAATGCTTGGCGCGACGCCTGATGCTCAGGAGATGATCGGATGGCTAGTCATCTTGGGCCTTGACTGTTCTGCTCCAGTGGCCTCCCAACTGTTGGGAGTAACCTGCCTGCCATTCTCTTCCTCTCACGCTCCACCCCGGAACCCATGCTCTTCCTTACTACTACAGCAGCAAAACAAGAACCCCAACCTTTACTTCACTAAAAATCTCTGTGACTTTCCACTTGCTTCAGGGTGAAGTTGAGATGGTTCACAGGGCCTTCTCTACAGTGGCCCAGCCTTGTCTCCCCACTAGTTATGTTCCACTGACCTCCCCACCCCTCACTGACCTGTGCATGTTGTGCCACGGCTCTCTTTTTTCTCAAGTTTGTATTTAAATCCCAGTTACTTAACATACAGCACAGTATCCATTTAGGGCGATTCAGCACTTCCACACATCACCCGAAGCTCATCACTCATCACGACAAGTGCCCTCCTTCTTCCGCCTCATCTCCTCCACCCACCCCCTCAACCCGCCTCCCCTCTGATGACCACCATGTGTTCTCTATGGTTAAGAGTCTGTTTCTTGGTTTGCCTCTCTTTTTTTTTTTTAACCTTTGCTCATTCGTTTTTTTCTTAAATTCCACAGATGGGTGAAGTCATATGGTGTTTGTCTTTCTCTGACTGACTTTTGTTTAGCATAATAGTCTCTAGGTCCATACATGTCATTGAAAATGACAAGATTTCATTCTTTTAATAGCTGAGTAGTATTCCATCGCATATATGTAGCACATCTTCTTTACCTATCATCGGACACTTGGGCTGTTTCCATGTTTTGGCTGTTGTAGATAAAGCTGCTGTAAACATCATGGTGCATGTATCCCTTTGAATTAGCATTTTTTAAAATTTTTACTTATTTATTTATTTGAGAGAGAGATAGAGACAGAGAGTGGGGGAGGGGCAGAGGGAGGAGCAGACTCTCCGCTGAGCAGGAAGCCCCATGTGGGGCCCAATCCCAGAACTCTGGGATCATGACCCAAGCCTAAGACAAATGCTTAACTGACTAAGCCACCCAGGTACCCTTGAGTTAGTATTTTGGATTCTTTAGGTATATTTCCAGTAGTGTGATTGCTAGGTCATAGAGTAGCTCTATTTTTAACTTCTTGAGGAACCTTCATACTGTTTTTTGCAGTGGCTGCACCAACTTGCATTCCCCCAACAGTGCATGAGGGGTTCCCTTTTTCCGTATCCTCACCAACACCTCTTGTTTCTTGTGTTGATTGTAGCCATTCTGACAGGTGTGAGGTAAGTGATAATGAGCATCTTTTCATGTATCTGTTGGCCATCTGTATGTCTTCTTTGGAGAACTATCTGTTCATGTCTTCTACCCATTTCTAATTGGGTTATTTGGTTTTTGGGTGTTGAATTTTCTAAGTTTTTTGTATGTTTTGGATACTAACCCTTTATTGGATATGTTACTTGCTAATATCTTCTCCCATTCTGTAGGTTGACTTTTCGCTTTGTTGATTGCTTACTTTGCTGTGCATTTTTTTAATTTTGATGTAGTCCCCGTAATTTATTTTTGCTTTTGTTTCCTTTGCCTGAGGAGATATATCTAAATTTTTTTTAAATTTTTATTTATGATAGTCACAGAGAGAGAGGCAGAGACACAGGCAGAGGGAGAAGCAGGCTCCATGCACCGGGAGCCCGATGTGGGATTCGATCCCGGGTCTCCAGGATCGCGCCCTGGGCCAAAGGCAGGCGCCAAACCGCTGCGCCACCCAGGGATCCCCTGAGGAGACATATCTAGAAAGAAGTTGCTATGGGCAATGTAAAGGAAGTTACTGGGTTCTCTTTTAGGATTTTACGGTTTCAAGTCCCGCATTTAGGCCTTCAATTAATTTTGAATCTTTTTGGTGCAAGAAAGTGGTCCAATTTCATTCTTTTCCATGTTGCTGTACAGTTTTCCCAACATCATTTGCTGAAGAGCAATATCCAATATTCCATTGAATATTCTTTCCTCCTTTGTCAAAGAGTAATTGACCATATAATTGTGGGTTCATTTCTGGGTTTTCTATTCTGTTCTGTTGATCTGTGTGTCTATTTTGTGCCAGTGCCCTATTGTTTTCATTATTACAATTTGTAATATAACTTGAGGTCTGGAATTGTGATGCCTCCAGCTTTGCTTTTCTTTTTCAAGGTGGCTTTGGCTGTTTGGGGTCTTTTTTTTATTTTTTAAATTTTTTAAAATTTTTAAAAAAATTTTTTTTAAATTTATTTATGATAGTCAGAGAGAGAGAGAGAAAGAAAGAGAGAGAGAGAGGCAGAGACACAGGCAGAGGGAGAAGCAGGCTCCATGCACCGGGAGCCCGATGTGGGATTCGATCCCGGGTTGCCAGAATCACGCCCTGGGCCAAAGGCAGGCGCCAAACCGCTGCGCCACCCAGGGATCCCTGTTTGGGGTCTTTTATGGATCCATACAAATTTTAGGATTCTTTGATCTAGCTCTGTGAAAAATGCTGCTGATATTTTGATGGGGATTGATTAAATATGTAGATTATTTTGTGTAGTATAGACATTTTAACAATATTTGTTCTCCCAATGCATGAGCATGGAATGTCTTTCCATTTCTTTGTGTGATCTTCAATTTCTCTCACCAGTATTTTATAGTTTTCAGAGTACAGGTCTTTTACAGGTCTTTGATTAGATTAATTCCTAGGTATTTTATGGATTTTGGTGCAGCTGTAAATGGGATTGATTCTTTTATTTCTCTGTCTGCTGCTTCATTATTGGTATGTAGAAATGCAAAGATTTCTGTAAATTGATTTTATATCTTGCAATTTTAGTGAATTCACCTATTAGATCTAAGAGTTTTTCGGTGGAGTCTTTCAGGTTTTCTGTATTTATTATCATGTCATCTGCAAATAGTGAAAGTTTTACTTCTTCCTTGCCAATTTGGATTTTTTTTTAAAGATTTTATTTATTTATTCATGAGATAGAGAGAGAGAGAGGCAGAGACACAGGCAGAGGGAGAAGCAGGCTCCATGCAGGGAGCCCAACGTGGGACTCGATCCCAGGTCTCCAGAATCCTGCCCTGGGCTGAAGGCAGCGCTAAATCGCTGAGCCACTGGTGCTCCCTGGATTTTTTTTTTCTTTTTGTTGTCTGATTGCTGTGGCTAGAACCTTCCACATATCTTTACTTGTGACCTCAGCAGGTTACTCAGATTTCCCTTGCCAAAAGTTCTTCAGCTGTAAAATGTGTAGAGTTATAGTACCTACTTATCTCATAGGTTTGCCATGAACATTAAATGACTTAATTTCTGTAAAATATTTAAAACATGCACATGACCTTACTACTGGTTCTAGCTCTCTCTTGCTCTTCTTCCTGGAGCATCAACTTTCATCCTACAGGACTTGGATTAAATGGTATCTCATCTGTGATGCTGTCCTCATTTCCCCAGTTAGCTAGCCACTCTGTTCTCCTATTATTCTACATTATAAGGATATAGGTACAGACTATAACTTTTTCAAAAATACAGTAACATGGTACTCTGTTTATATCCTGCAGCTCCTAGCAAGACAGTTGTGTGGAAAGCGTCATGTTTGTGTACTGAATAAAGCTGTGAATAGATCATTGTAGAGCAATATGTATTCATAGAACAAAAGATGATTTCTAACTAGGGGGTTCAAAATTTGATTTCAAGGAAGAAATAGGGTCTGAAAGCAAGTTTGCTTTAGGCAGAACATACTAAGAGCTGGTTATTCACCAAGGAAATAATAAACTTAGAAGGCAAATATTTCTTGACATATGGTTCAGAATTATTATCAGTCAATATTCTGAAAATTAGAACAGTTTTATCAATTTATCTTCAATGTTTTATTTCACGTATATGTGCATACATAGATTCCTACACTATTCAATGAGGATTTAAAAGATACTGTGTGCCAGGAACAATCTAGGTGCCTCATGAACATTGTTGAGTGAACTAGACATGGTTTGTACCCTTGAGAGATTCCATCTTACCTGAAGAATGGTAGGACTAATCTTTTCCATTGACACCTCGGTAGTACATCTTATACTAAAGAAGGCATATTGGGAACATTTGCAATTTTCTGTATTTCCTATTCTTAACCTTCAAAATCCAATTCATCGTGTTAACATGTCAGCAGCTCAGCTAGGTCCGTGTGCTGTCATAATTTAACTATGGCTTTTTTTGTTTATATACTTTAAAATCCATACTGAAACTTGCATTCTCTTTTCCCACTTTTTATTTAAATCTTTTGACTGCCTTTTCTTCCCCATCCCCATAGCAACTTCCTAACTGGCTCCTTCCCCCCAGTCTCTTTTCCATATGTCTTTCCCAAATCCTATCAAACTACTTCACTGCTCACCATCCTTCAGAATAATCTCAAAAGGCCTTGAGATGACATACAAGGTTCTTCTTTTCGGCTCTGACTCACCTTTCAGAGCTCGTTTTGGGCCTCACTACGAACATGCTTTATATTCTTGAAATTCTGTTCCTTTTCTTATCCTTCCCCTTTCTCTGCCCAGCAAAACCATTCTCCATTCCAGACCCAACTCAGATGATATCCCTTACCCCTGATTCAGTCATATCGTCAGTGTTCCCAAAGCATATCGATCCTGTCTCTGTCAAATCTCTTCTCAGGATATATATAACAAGCTGCCAAAATGTTCTTCTCTTCCATTAGACTATAAATTCATAGAGTCGAAACTATATCATATTCACCTGTAATGTGGCACCTACCCTTTTCCCAGGGAGGAGAGGGGTGGGGAAATGTTCCATAGAAAATTGAAAATCTGAAAGGGAATCTTCCAAGGGGGTTTCAGTGTGGTCCTCTGACCAGTAGCAGCAGCATTATAGAGATCTTGTTGGGAATGCAGATTCTCAGGCCCCGCCCCAGATCTCCTGAATCTGCATTTTAGCAAGATCCCCACGTGACTTGTATGTGTTTGTTAAAGTCTGAGAAGCAAGAGTTAGAGCATGAGATGGTGAAAGTTCCAAATCTGCCTGCTAGCAGCTGGGATACGTGGCTCTTCCTGGGTCTTGTCTGTGTGATGAGGTCGCACTGGAATGGGAACCACAGGAGGGGAATGGCCCCGGTCAGCGGTTGAAGAGGAGGGCTCGGGAGCTGACCTCCAGCCTTCATGCTATCAGCTTTGTTTTCCAGGCTGACATTTACATCAGTGTGAACATCATTCATGGTTATTTTTCTTTCTCCTTCACAGGGCTTTCGATGGATTCTCTAGTGCTCAAAAGAATCAAGAGCAACTTTTGACACTAGCAAGCATTTTGAGGGAAGAAGGAAAAGTTTTCAATGAGAAGGTTTATTACACCGCAGGCTACAACAGTCCTTTCAACTTGCTTGATGGAAATAATGAAGTGTGGTTGATTGAGAAACATGAACCCCCCAAAGAAAATAAATGAGAAAAAAAACGGGAAGTACCATCGCTTACTGTAGACATCGACACTCTTCTTACACGTAAACTTCAGGTCTAGTAGCTCCACTGAGAGAACTACGATGAATTGAGCTTCTTTCCAAGGTGCCTATTAAAGCTTGAAGCTTTATCTAGATGCGCAGGGAACAGGGGACAGTATTCTAGAAACATGTGAACAGCTCTGAAGGAGTTTGTCTGCAAGGCTCCAGGGAATATCCTATTACTTGACCCTTCTTCACTGCATCACAATCATGTTGCCTTTTCTGACTTGGATTTGTGTCATTTGGATGTTATTCCCTCCAGATATTATCAATAAAAATGTTAAAGAGGCATCCTGTATGGCACGGTGAGGCTGTCAAGCCTTAAGGGGTGAAGTTCGGTTGGCAACAAAAACCGGATTCTTTTGCGCCGGACCCTGTCACATCCCCTTGGGCTCCTCTTCCTTGTCCACCCCCCGCCCCCACTGCACAAGAGAATTCCCAGCAAACCCCAAAGGGTCGATAATATTTCATGGCAGAGAAGAAATTTATGAAGGTAGGGACCTAGATCCTGTTTTGAAACCCAAGAAAGCCATGTTCTTGTGCAAAGGCATGTATACAGACATGTAATTTTAAAATTCACATGCATTATGAAAGTATTTCTTTTAAGACTTTATTTATTATTCACGAGAGACACAGAGAGGCAAAGACACAGGCAGAGGGAGAAGCAGGCTCCCTATGGGGAGCCTGATGTAGAACTCGATCCCAGGACCCCGGGATCACGACCTGAGTGTAAGGCAGATGCTCAACCATTGAACCACCGAGGTGCCCCCTTTTTAAAGTAGTTCATGTAATTCCAGAGGTCATAGAAAAATTATTCTATTTATTGAAAGAATGGATTGCCACAAAATCAAGGAGGTTGAAATCCATGCCTAATTTGTGCTGGAGCATGCTTGTCCTGGAGAAGACAAAGTCACATTCAGATATAACCAGGGGCCAAGGATGTAGGAGCCCCTGGCTCCAGGGCTCCCAAAGGGACCAGCTTCAACCATGCGCCACTGACAAGATCCAAAGGCAAAAAGATGAGTGGTGGTGAAACAAGAAAGGAATTTATTTCAGTGAGGCCAGCACTGGGGAGATAGGGAACTAGCATCTAAAGATGATCTCTAACATGCTGAAAATACTTCCAGGTTTATATAAAGAAAATGTGGGACAAAGGTCGGTGGGTGCATGCAGGTGGGCAGTAAAGGTCAGGTCAATCACTGTCTTGGGGGCAATCACACAGGGTCTTTATTGCCTGAGAGGGTAGTTTCAGTTCCCAGCAGGGGATACTTGGCCCTCCTGGTCTTTTGTCTGAGTTAACAGGCTGGAAAGAATCAATTAAGAAGTACAGACTGAGGTCAAAATGGGGGTAAGTTGAAGTCCCTGTCCCCAGAGGGGAAGCCCATTGCAGGAAAGGCAGAAACTATAGTAACCTCCTAGAGTGTGTTGGTGGGAGGAGTGAAGGAGAAAAGCAGGTTGGTGCTCAGTAACTTCTCCACAATGAATCTTCTTGTGAATGACACAGCTTCCAGTTCCCATCACTGTGTGTCTGCTGAGGCAGAGACCGTGTGATCACTTCTAAGAAGATGTGAGCATCCAGTGGTAAGAGGATGAAGCCAGATGGTGCTAAGTTCCCTCCAACCCCAGTATTATGTGATATTTCTTAAAATTAATCTCCCTAACCTGGATACCTATAATTAGCATAATCCTAGGTCCCCCTAGACCCTCCTATGGGACAATAATTCCCATTTCTCCCTGGCCTGGATTGCTAACCTCGGTAAAGATCTACAGTCAACGGTTTCCATAGCTAACATCTCTGGATTACCTTCTAGGTGCACCATTCTAAGTGCGTCCCCTGAATACCTACGTTCACCCCTCACCTACGTTCACTCTCTGTGTCCCATTCTATCAGCTCCGTTTTGCGGATAAAGACATTGATGCATAGAGATGGTAGGCAACTTGCTTCAGATGAAACTGTAAGAGCAGAGGCTAATGGGAGCCCAGGCTGACTGACTCCTGGGTCCATGTGTTAATCACTGTGCCTGCTGGTAGATGGCTGTTGGAGAGAGCAGCCCTCAGGCGCCTGGGTGGCTCAGTGGTTGAGCATCTGCCTTCAGCTCAGGTCATGATCCCAGGACCCTAGGATTGAACCCTGCATCAGGCTCTTTGCTCAGTGGGAAGCCTGCTTCTTCTTCTCCTGCTGCAGCTCCCCCTGCTTGTGCGCTCTTTCTCGGTGTCAAATAAAGAAAATATTTGAAAACAATTTTTTTTAAAGAGTGCAACTCTCTCAGGCCACAAGCAGATAGGGCCATATGAGGGCATTTGTCTCATGTATATTACACACATAATCAGTGTGATTATGACCTTGTTTTTGATACCAAACAAGCTGGATTTCTGGCTTTGTAATTCTTATGGATATAAAATTATAAAATCTCAGGCAATTATTTTCCAAAGTTATTTGCTTGCCTTGATCATTTGTGTTCTCTGCTTTTTTATGCTTGCCAAAAAGAAATTAAATTCCTTCTTAGTTTATTTAAAAGAACCAACTGGAGAACCACTTCTAGCCCTCCTATGAGAATGTCCACAGTACTAGCCTCTACTGCTATGAGGCAAATATTTCTTTTTTTTTAAGATTTTATTTATTTATTCATGAGAGACACAGAGAGAGGCAGAGACATAGGCAGAGGGAGAAGCAGGCTTCCTGTGGGGAGCCCAATGTGGGACTCAAATCCCAGGACCCCAGGATCACGACCTGTGCCGAAGGGAGATGCTCAACCACTAAGCCACCCAGGCACCCCGAGGTAAATATTTCTAATATTTACTCTGTAGTTCTATACAAATAGGCATCTCTTATGCAATAAGTTCCATTTTAAACAAGAGAAGCATATTTCTGATGATCAACATTTAGTTGTAATCTGAAACATGTTCAATAAAAAAATTGATTTTGTACTATTCAAGTCCAAGATATCCCATTTTCCTCTTCTCTTCCATAAATCATAAATGAAAGCATTTTTAGCCTTAAAATCAATACAGAGAATATTTCTCATAGCAAAAATCAGTTACTTTAATTACATGGCTGGCACCGACTACAAAATATCCCTTCTGTCAACATTTCTGTGGAGACTGTTCTTCTCATCTATAGGAAATTTATGTCTAGACTCCTCTAAGGCTAAGGCTTCCACCTTTGGTGTTGCTGTAATTCTTGCCCCATCAATTAGCGCCCCCCTCCCTCCTTCAGGCTGTCCTACACACATGTTCCAACCGCTCTGCCGACTGAGAGGTCCAGATTATGCTTAATCCTCCCCACCCCCCAAAACTAAATCCTAGTTCCCCCTAGACCCTCATTCCTATCTTTCCTTTGCCTGGATTATCCAATTTGTCTGGCAAGAGCTATCCAAGGTCTTCCCTGGAGCTCTAGGTTTCAGGAGGGATCTCAGGGATCATGAGAGGGATGAAGGTGGGCAGTACCCCAGCCACCACTTCTTTCCACAGAGCCATCCACAAGTTGATGTTTGTGTCAATTTTTCATAAGATTATCTTTTTAAAAATCTGAAAAACAATTCACTTAAGCTCTGTCTTTTCTAGTTATCACTTAACCTTTCTCCTTAAACATTTCACCGAAAGGTCATTTACTTTCCTTCATTCCTGCAGAAGTCATGGTGGTGAGCCTACCGGGTTCCAGGCACAGCACTAGGTGCAGGGCCTGGGACACGGCAGTGACAGAAATACTCTCTTGTCAGTGACTTTGTAATCACCAAACACCGCAGTGCCTTTGCTCTTCCATTCAGTCCTCCTTCCTGAGGATACAGTGGTGGGTGTCCTCACGGCCTTTATGTTCTAGCGAGGGAGAACGTGGAAATGAAGTGGACTCTGGGATGGTGGGTGGCATGGCAGGGGGCAGCAGACGTCCTCTAGAGGGGACAGCCCCGGCCTCTCTAAGGAGGAGACCTTTGAGACTGGGATGGCGAGAAGGAGCCAGTCAGACAAAGGCCTGGCGGGTTGGGGACATCTTGTGCAGATATGACCGTGTGAAAGGAAGAGGCCACATTCAGCATCCAGAAGAAAATGCTGCATGTAGTGCTTGCTGAGCAAGAGAGAGCTGTGCTTGCAATCTCTCTGGACAAAGAAAACCGCTGACCTTGTACAGGGTTTTAGGAAATGCAGGGGCCAAGGGTTAGCGGACTTTCAGAATCCCCTTAGAAACCCAGTTTTAGTTGGGGAGGTGCGGTTCCCAGAGTGAGGCCACTGCTGGTTAGCCTGACTTAGGAGGCTGGTTTAGAGGTGAGATTGCTGATGTGACATTGGATCAGTCCTGGTACTTACGTGTAACTGTGGCCAAAGACCAGTCATTTCTTTTCTGGGACTTGGGGGAGGCAGGCACATGGAGGTGTGCTCCTCAGATCCACCTTCGAGAAAGGACCAGCTGCCACGTTGGGAGGGGTGTGGTCAGCTGATAGCTCCAGCTGACACTTTCTTCAGAGTTGGCTGCAGATTCAAGACAAGGACACAGTATTCTCGGGGCCTAGTGAGCCTAAGCCTGAGTGAGGCAGTAGGAGCTGACAGTCTGCCGTTTTCTGGCATCTTCCAGCCAAAGACTGAGCAAGGTGGTGGTGCAAAGACCTAGTTGTTTCTGCCCACCTCAGGCCCCTTCTCACTAAACCGTCTTGGCCCTGGAGCTCCCTGGTGGGCTTGCAGAGACCTCATCAGATGGGTCATGAAGGCTGACTGCTCCCCCACAACACTCTCGCTTTTCCTTTCTCCTTTCAGAGGCTGTAACTTTGTCATACGTTTTAAACTCCATGCCAGCATCAAACTGGCATTCCTGGGATCGGGGTGGCCCAGGATCAGGAGCCGTGAGATAGCATCTTGACACTGGCTCGCTCGCTGCCTGGCTGCCGAGAAGGCTCACGTCCCTGGTGAACAGGCAGGACTTAGGCAGCTCCTGTTACTACAACTTTAGATGGAATGACCTACTTGCAGAGAAGCCTACCGCGGCTGGTGGATGATTCAGGTGTGTCCAATATGGGGAGGGTGGATAATGAATACAAGGGCAATGGACTCGAATGGTTATTACTAATTTGAATTGATAGCCTCGGGGTGGATAAGGAAAAGCTGAGGTCAATTAGCAGACAATTTAAAAACGAAGTGTGAGAGCCAGAGTCTCTTTGGTAACTTGCTAAGAAGCCCTCACCCCATGCAGATGTTAAGCAGAAAGGGCACCTGGGTGGCTCAGTTGGTTAAGCATCTGCCTTCAGTTCAGGTCATGATCCCAGGGGCTTGGGATGGAGCCTCGAATCGGGCTCCCTGCTTCA